GATTTTGGGTAAGTGTGTTACGCTACAACTTGGTCAAGGAGGAAGATGCAAGAGATTGAAGATTGACCTACTTTGGCTAAGATGCATTAAGCTCAACCTCAACCTATTTTTCTGCACTACTCATGTCTATTGCTCTCTTACCTTCAAGCTTACATCCTCATGCAGTCTATGCAATCGGAAGTGCACTGTACCTGTCGAAAAATACCGCCTCAAACTTGGGTTGCGATTCCTTATGATACAGTGAGGCAAGCTACGGAATAAGCTCCTGCATCGTATTCGCACCTGCATGTCCCCGTTTCAGTTTCAACTCCTACTCAACGAGGTCCCCCAATTCATGGATATCCATAAACCTCTCGATATCCGCATTATATCCACAAGTACGAAGTATATTGGAGCAATCAGCGCGTAACAGTGGTCCAGCCGTTGCGTCCACTTTGGACGGGCATGGACCCTTAAATGTGTGAATCGGAGTTATTAAAGTCTATGAGTTCCTCCTGCACTGATGGGTTCATGATTGCTCAGAGGGGTGTGAGTACTGGTTACTCTCCGCATAACAAACTTAACGTATACCGTTTTTCTCAAAAGGCCACTACAATACACCCAAACATAGAAAATTTTAAGAACGTTATCATGAAAAACTATGTGGCTGACTCCACGTACATACATGAAGATGTACATAAAGTTCGGATGGGTCTTAAAGGATAAGGACTTCCCTCTTCTCCAAATTGGATGGCGTATTAACTCCCTCCTCCGTATCTGCTAGTGCTCCTTCTTTCTTTTCCCATTTGCAGCAACAGCTCCATGATGACATCCGACGATGAACTTAAATCTGGACATAACTACCCGGTGAAAATAATACTTGCTCTTTGACGCCAAGAATTACTGAACTGCTCCCACCCTTTCACGATTTCTGGACTACCTTCACGATTAACTCACCTGCTGGCCGTGATTCTTCTTGCAACCAACCGTGTAAACTTTCGTAACAGCTACAGTGGCGTAAATATTCTGAACGAATGACCTAACCGGAGACCAAGTTGCACATTGGCTCGGAACGCGACCTACCTGCAGTAGCCTCACAGTATAAGTTTTCCAGTACTCTGTATCAAGTGACCTTTTCACATGAAAGTTACTGTGCATCAAATACACTTTTGGAGTGACGCTGCCTACGCTAACACAAAAGATACCTTAAGTCTGTGTATAAACACCGCCATTTGGATCGTTAACCGTTTCAACGTCCATTTCCGTCCAGTAAAACAAGTATATTACTTTAAAAAGTAACATGGTCACCCGGATGTGCATTGAGTTAGGCGCTCACCTTGATTATACAACTGTGGATACTTTACCGATACTCTAGATTGTATATATAGGTCCTTTGTGGTTAGCAAAGCTAAAACTGTAGAACTTTCTGATGAATGGCGGGCTATATTACTAAATAACAAACTATGCTAATGGACTAACACCGTCGGCTGGTTGCAAAGCAAACTTCGCAAATTGTGCACTCCTGCTCCTAATAACGGAACCCATCTGTATGGTAGGTGATGAAAATCCATGCACGTCTCATGAATTGCAGCAAGTTTTGATAAGATTATGCATATCAGTAACCTGATGGATCAAATATTTAACACAATACTATTTTGCGAACTTTCAAGAATCATCAATTTGGCGACGCTCGCAAACTGGTACCCCCCATGTTAAATCCGTTATATGAGGATAATAACTATTATTATCCAAACTTTAACACTCCGTGCACGCTGAAAAGTGATAGCTTCTTGTTCATTTCATAACTAGCAGGATCTTCTGATGTCCTGAATAGATTTTAACAATACCATCCGGGACTCGTGAAATCTTGTAGACCTTTTGTCGCATATCGACGAGGTGATGCTTGTAAACTGGCCCCCCTCATGTTAACTTACTAATGTGAGAATAAAACATTTACCTAATTATTCGTTTGTATCGGGGATAGTAGTGGTCCGAGCACACTATCATAGATGACGCCACTTTGTTAAGGTCCAGAAGAGGAGTGGCAATTATTGAATTTCATTCCTTGGAAGCCAACCTCCTGGGATGTTCTCAGCCGGAGCGGTAGTAAGCCTCGAAAACTATATGAATTCAGCTTAGCGATTAGATGTTTTGTGAGTGACCTCACCGAGTGCGTGTTCGAAGCCGACGAAAGGGGTGATCGTGAAAAGGCTACGGTAACTCTTCCCCTTAGCGTCGTCTAGATAATCAAAAAGAGGGGGTAGCGTGGAGGCAGCCTTTCAAGAAAATATGCTCTGCTGAAGAAAGCAATTATTTTGTTGTCATGTAATTTACGACTCCCTTCACCATCACCTTTTCTGTGGTCATCGGTACTACTGGCATGATGTTCATAGGTCAGTAGTTTTCCATACTTGACGTCGGCTCACGTCTGTGCTCGTGATATAAGTATGACGGTTTCCAGTTCTCGTGGCAATTGCCTCCGGAGACGGACATATTGAAGGGCTTCAAGAAGAACATAGTTGTGTCCTTGCACTCCTTCCTTTCAAGGTGAGTGGAATTCTGTCAGGCCTGGAGATGCGTGAGGCTCTAACTGACCCCAGTGTTAGGGAGATGTTACGTTGAGTAAAGGGCACATTGATTATGGTGTGAGTTGGCTCTGATGGTTCATCGACAGTTTCCTTTTTATCCTTGAGTGTGAAAGAGCTGACAGACTGATAGTTGAACAGCTCATAAATTTGCAGTGGGTCGTCGAAGGGGTTTCACCGTCCACGAATAAAACGGGAAGCAATAATTCTAAAGCTCCTAGTCCAAGAATTCATCAGTACCACTAATGCTTCTGTGCTATTGGTTTTGTCACGGCGAATGCACACTTTCCTAGCATCTCCTGGTACCCCACGAACCTTAAATGTATCCTACGTGTTTTTGAGTGTGGTAAACGACGTAACAAAATCAAATAAACAAAAATCTGCCCACCACACCAGTGAAACTGCCCAGTGAACGTCTAACTGACTTGGTGGAAACTGATGCAGAACAAATAGTACTTAATAGTGGGGCTGCTGATCTAGTGTCTGTAGCGGTAGCATCGAACCCATGGATACGAGCTGCTAGCGAAGGTGCCGTGCAAGCTGTTGGTGAGCTTCCGTGGGAAAGCAAGGATAGCCAGATAGTGCAAGCGTGTCCAGTGCAGGACGATCTTGCATGGAACCTAATAGCTGGCCATGAATTTCCAAGCGACCACAGGACCCTATGCGCAAGCATTCTTTCACGATGCTGAGTCCTAAGACACTGCTAAGATGGGATGGTAAGCCCACATCACCTTGCCTCAAGATCGAGGCGAGACACCCGTCTCTCACTCAGGATGACTTAAGAGGTACCCGTAGAACACAAGGAAGTGACTCATGAGGGATTAGTAGTATTTGCTGACGAAGTCACTTGGACTGCGGACGGTCTGAGATGAACACCTGCTACAAAACACTATGCTGACGCCGGAAATTCAACAAATGTCGGTCAAGCAGTGTCCACCAAATTCCGGACTGAACTTGGGCGAATGATTAAGAATGAGCTGCACAGGAAAATAACCGTACGGTCACATTTTTCGTGGTCCCCATCCATTGCTTTGGTTAGGAGGAAGGATGGATCTCTTTCTTTGTGCGTGGGCCGCTGCAAGTTAAATTTAGATAGGTGTAATGACTCGTTTGCACGGCAATACACCGACGAAACACCCTGCACGCTGACAGGGTCTCATGGCTTGCTGCCCCTGGTTTGTCATCTGGACGTTGGAAGGTTGATCAATGAATGAGTCGTCGATAACTTTGCCGTCAGCAAAAACCATTAACAATCACCTTAGAAGATGTGGGTTATCTGAAGAGTGTGATGTGTCCGTACTATACATTTTGAACACTCTTGTCACACATTTATTGGTGGTGCATTATACATGAAAACTGGAAGTGGTGGAGGGACAAATATGACGCTGAAGAATTCAACAATAAGAAGGGTGGCAGAAGGAAAAAAGGTAAGCCTGAGACCCAGTGATAAAGAAGAGGCACAGAATGCCTCTTTACAGACGAAAGGAAATCGTGAGTGTGTTGAAACCTTGCCGTCTTATTGAGAGAATAGGAAAGTGCTCCGCTTCGTTCGTTCTATAACATGTTCCGATGCTCTTTGAGGAAACAAATTCCTGCTGGAGATTTGAAACGACTTGTTCTCTATGGACTATTCGGGGAGGAGGTATTCGGAACCCTAAATGCCTTTGACCCACTGTGCCTCTACCAGCGCCCTTGAAGATAATGGGAAGCCAAGTGGTCAACCTTGTCAGAGAATACTCAGAAAACACGTGAGCACTAAATGGTGTTCAACATGGTTGCAGAGTGGGTAGGTCCTGTATCTCAAACCTTCTAGCAACCAGGGACAAATGGACCCTATGTCGGGACGTTGAAGTCCCTTCCATGTTATTTCCCTGGATTTTACTAAGAAATTTGATACTGTCACATACCATTCTCATGCCGGAAGTCGCACCGTTGGGTGTCAGCCGCCAGGTGTCATCCTGGCTAGAAAACGTTTTAGACAGTGAGATGTTCCGGATAAAAGTCAACACGGTTTGCCCAATTTGGAGAACATCATCTTCCGATGTGTCACAAGGGGCGATTCTGGGGCTGCTACTCTCTCTCCTCTTTTTTGAAAACGACCTCGCATTGAGTCTCAGCCCATTGGTTCTGCTTTAAGCCGACGATGTTCATTTATAGAGTGCTGCGAAGTCAATAACGTAATCCAGAGCACTACTAGGTGACCCAGATTGCTTGAAGAATGAGTGAATAATAATGGACAAGAATTTAATCTGAACAACTGTCCACTAAAGTAGGCGAGTGGACGGACCTACTGCATCGGAATTCACCAGAGACCCGAGACCGTTCTGCAAGATTAAGGAGCGAGAGCGAAGAAATCAATTAATTCATACAAACTTGTGAATGGGCATTGAATATTGGATCATAACTGACGTAATGTTGCTCAGTAATATGTTAAGGCTTTTACTCAACACCATGATAACGATGAACATAAAAGTGTGAATTCAACGCGTATTCGCTGCATATATCTTGAGATACTTTTTCTTCGAAAGTTTGGTTTAGCGAAAGTATTATATATTAAGTTCATACATTAAACTTTGGCGACATTTCAAACTCAATGAAAAGACATAAGTTAGATTCACGCTATTGTTGGTGTTGATTACATTTTTGACATGCGCTTATTGTCATTAGCTTTAACAAGTCTTCATGCTTGTTCCGTGGTGCTCAGCAGTTATGAAGAATGTATGTTGTCTAAACAGATTTAACACTAATTTAGATGTTATATTACCTGTCAATTCTGATTATTGTCAAGATCATAGTGTTTTCAGAAGGTTTTCGCTTTCTCGACAGATGAGTTTCGTAACTGGTGTCTATAATTCGTCATGGAACAATCTGCTTTATGCCTGTAAAGTAAGTGACTAACTTTATATTTGGAGCGCTTCGCAATATCCTGTTGCAGTTGATGTAAATGATTTTCTCATGACTTTTTGAAAGAATAATTGAAAAAGAGCGTGTCCCTCAATAGCAGTTGATGGAACGTGACATAAAAAGTACTTACCAATCAGTAAGTACGAAAAGCTGGTTTTTGTCTTCAATAACTGACAACAATAAGCCAATTCTAGATACGTCTAGTGCATTGAAGTTAGCACAAAAAGTTAGATTCAAATAAGATATGTAATTCGCATCTATAGTCTTCGTTTTATAAATGTAGTACCATCTTATTGTAGCATATTTACCGAATATGTAGTATGGAACCTTATGACCACATACTACATATATGCGTTGAGTTTCTTTTGATTTTACACCTTATTGTTTGTGCTTTATCTTGCTGTGCTTAAACTGCTAAACTTGGAACTAGCACATTTTTCTTACAAAACATGATGGTAATTTCCTATGGAACAACTCAGTTTTCCTATTTCCCATATAATTAAGTTTTGACTGTCTGTCTGTTGACTCCCAAGATGTGAAAATCTTAGTTTAAGTTAGGATGCGTTCATATATTTTGGAAATTCGAGTGGATTTATTAGTTTTGCGTCATTTATACGAATTCCTCTTTTGAATTCCGACTTGCCTGACAACAGTAAAATGTCTTCAGAGTGTTTACCGACTATTTTCATAACTAATCGTTTGCAGTCGCATTCCACTTACTTCACTTATCTTGGTTTATTGCTAAAAACAGATACACTGGTGTTCATCTCATTTATTATAATTTCTTGATCTATACTTATTCAAACAATCATCTAACATTCAGTCTTAAGTTGCGTAGTATTTATTGTGACGATCCAGTCTTTTTTCTATACATGTATGCTAACATACATTATCCATACGCCAGGACAGTAAGTCGTGTTATTCAAGCCTCTTTTGAAAGCTAAAGTTTATTATTGGGAAATATCATTTTGGATCGATTGGCACGAGTTCCAGTCGAGAAAAAGTTGCAAACTGTTTGGAATATAATCGCTTTGTGAAACCTAATGTGACTAATTACTAAAATGTTTAATATGAGCAATATTTTACAGCGTCTACTATATATATATATATATATATATATATATATATATATATATATATATATATATATATATATATATATAGTGAATTGTGAATTAAAGCGTGTCATGGAGGAAGCATAAAGGCTAATGGCTTAAAGGTTGGCTTGTGTTTGACATAATTAGTGTTTGATCAATGGAAGAGAACTAATAACTTTCCCGATCTGCATACATTTCAAAATTAAATGTCAAGTTCATACCTTGCATATTTAGATTATTTTCAATGGAATTAGGTAACTGGGATTAACTGATGAGAGGCACTAAAGTGTATTTTAGGACACTGACTGGAGACCAAAGATCGTGTTTCACAGACTTGAATGATAACATTGTTTAAAGAAGTGAAGGCATTCCAATGAATCGATAAGAAATTGTAGCTTTCCGGTTAAGTTCGAAGTTATAGTGGAACTGGTTAAAAGGTTTGGAAGATGACCAAGAAGACTCTCTTTGGCTGCGGAATTGGTTTGGCTTCATTGTCTGCTTTTTTTATCAGGCAAAGGTTTTGTTTATTTGAAATAGAATTTTAGGATTTTCAGATGATTAACATCATGTCATTAGCATTGTATTCTTCATTAACATCGGGATACGTTTTGTGCATCTACTTGATACCCCAGTATATTTTAGCAGTAAGCTGTCCATCTGATTACAGGATGCAAATATGGAGCCAGAATAACACTTTTAAATTAGAGTAGTAATAACCTTTTTGTCATCATTTTAGTATTTATTTTACATAACATTGCTTAATAAAAGCAAATAATGTAGTGAGGGTTACCATCGAACTCTACAGCTGTCCGTTTTAGGTGCTTATAAATAATTTAAAGGCGTAGATTTGCCTAAAATATTGACTATACAGATGTGTTGTCACTTTTCTAGCCAGCGCATTATTTTCTATTGCCTCAGCCTTTATACCAGGACTTATTCTAACGTCACACTTTTGACCTGCTCTATTTCATCAGCCTTTTGTTTTTCGATCGAATCCATAAAAGTATGCATTTTATGCCACTTAGATCGATGAGTTGTATGTATTGCACGCTTCCAGTCAATAAATTAAAATGCCTTTTATTCATTAGGCTGTTCAAGTACACAAACGTAAAGTCTTACATTTACTAGTCAAAGCATTCTCATTGCTTTCTAACTTGGATATCACCTTCAACTGACTATTTGTTATTTGAAAGTCATAACCACGGTTTTGCTTTGGTCATATTTTTGCATATAAGTGGATGTCTTACTTCATTCACCATTCTTGTTATGATCTTTGAGTTAGGATGCTAATGAAACAATAGAAAAATCAGTTGATGAGTTTGAAGTTTGGTCTTCTGATATCATTCACCTGAGTCATGTACTGTCACCGGTTGATCATAGTAAGTCGCCAGTATCAAGCAGTGAGTAAAGTACTTCATATTCAGTCAATCAAAAATCATCGTCATCATCAAGACAAAGTACTCACTCCCTATAAACAACAGTAGCTACACAGGCAATTGTGTCAGTCATCATAACTGTTATAAAATGCCAGGTTATTTCATAATAAACTTTTATCGTGCATTCAGATTAGAATTCTAAAGCACATGCCTTAAAAAAATGTTAAACTAACGTTATAACCCAAAGTACATATTTCCAGCAGTATACTAAATGGCCTAGTGGATATAGTGATCTCAAGGTAACAATCGGTTTACTGAAAACAAATATGCTTTGCAACTACAAGTATCTCTCACTAAGATTAACTCATAGTCTCGCTGTAATTACATGGTTTTCAACTGTTCTCATTCTAGGTTGGCATTCATCATAGAATGACATCAGTCGGAGAAACATTGGAAAACTGGGAGCACTGGATACCTCTTTTGTTCTAGTATAGGAGTTACCGGCAGTGCGCACCCATGACCTCGCTTCTCCATGGATCGAATCCAGGACATTCAGGTTCCCTGACCAGCACGTTACCATTGAGCCACTGGCTCGGAATTCAGTGGTTCATATTTCCAACTTCTGTCAATTCGCGATATAGCGTGACCTCCATCCAATGCCATGGTTGAGTAACTGTCTTCATGTTCAACTTGGTTGATCTTAATGGTCACGACTTCTTTTCAATTCAGAAAAATATGAGGGCAAAAACTGAATGGGATATATATATATATATATATGTATATATAGGTTTTATTATTTGTCCGTTGGGTTCCTAGTGAAACATAGGGCTTCAGTAGCATGTCGCCATTTCGCTTTGTTTTCTGCAGTCCTTTTAACCTGGCTCCACGACTTTTCACGAGATTTCACTTCTTTCCTACACAATGTCCTCCATGTCACCGTCGAACGCCCAACCCATCGTTTCCCATTTGGGTTCCACTTGAGAACCTGGAGCGTGATGTCCCCAAACTGTCCTCTCAGTGTATGTCCAATCCAATCCATCTCCAGTTTCTTCTTCTGCATATTTGTTGGGCGATAGGTTTTTGGTTGGTTCGTTGGCAGAGTGAGTTCCTTCTTGTTTATTCTTTCTGGCCTTCTGATCTGATCTTGAGTATCGAGTGAGCGTAGGTGGCAGCTGCTGATGATGTATGTTGGCAGTTTGTTGAAAATGCTTTTCGTAAAGCACCAAGTCTCTCATCCATCACATAGAAACACTGATTTACTTGTCTGAATTAGTGTTGGGAATCTGGATCTTGTTCATGTCTCATTTTGAGTGCAGTGTATCTCCACACTGATTTCAGATGTTCCCGATCCTGGCTCTGACATCCTCATCTGTGTCTATGACGTCTGTAGTTGAAACAATGCTACCTAGGCAGGTGACAGAGACAACTTCCTTCACACCTCTCGCGGTGATGGTGATTGTTGCTTGTTGTTGTTTTTGTTGTTGGTTGGGTACCTTCATCACCTGTGTCTTCTCTACTCTCACCTGAAGGAAGTCCCTTGTTCGCTGCCTCACCTCTTCTGCCAACTTGTTAGTTTTCGCCTGTAGATAGATTTTCAAGATTGTGCGATAAGACATTAGACATAAATCATGATCGACGGAATCCAAATCTTCTAGAATCTTTTCATTAATCCAGCCAGCGTATGCCCATCTTCTCACTCGTCACAGTTTGTTGCATGATCCAGTCCAGTCGACCACAATCAGGAAGATCATCGGTGATCGTAAGCGGCAACCTTGTCTTGTTTCTGTCTTCACTTTAAAGGCATCACTGAGCTTTCCAGAGAGTAGTGGTCCTTTTCACATTCGTGTAGTCTAGTCTTGTGCTGAATATTTCTTGAAAAAAAAGTAAACCCACAACACTTAAATAGGGCGTATATCTTTTGCGAAAAATGCAAAGTAACAGTTTATGTGTGCTCATGCAAAATTGTAGACACGGCAAAAGCATCAGTTGAAACCCTCACAGGAAAGTGTAGCAGCACGCGGGAAAAATGAACTCAGTTACATTCAAATCAATAGTAACAAGAAGGATGTGAATGAGAAAAATAGAATTTATGAAAGTTATTGCGATTTTCAGACGTTTTAAATATGTGAATGCTGTACACAAAGGTTGACTTAATACACTTGTAAATAATTTTTTTATCGTCTACCTTTCTTTCTTATATCACTAGGCTCTTTCCACAGTCATATAATCAAGTAAATCACGCTGGATAGAAGAATTCCAATACAAGTTACACAGAGCATTTATTATGTTGTCTTATGTTTAAAGACTTGTTTTCTTTAAATGAACCACAGTTGGACTAAGTGAAGCAGCCAAAAATTAAACTTTCTTACTGGTATACTTCGCTACTTAAAGCACTAAACAACAGCGTTTTCATATATTAAAGTTACTCGAGTTCTTACTTTCTACGATGTTAAGTCGATCAACTTGTTTCTGTCCATAAGAAGTGAGAACGTGTTTCCTGATTTATCAG